AGAATTTAAGGTGATTCTGTGGCTAGATATGGCTAGATATGGCAAAATTTGGCGATTTCACCAAGCAATTTTGGGACTGGGATAGTGTGGATAAACTTAAGTATTTAACAGCAACAATGGAAGACATTTAATTGTTTGGGGGATAGTGTGGATTTGAACCATGACAAATAGCAACAAGAAATGACATGGTGGGGTGAAAAGATGGGGCACAACCATTTTTTGATTGCGATCAAGTAACAGGGAAAACCATGGCTAAACTATGGCTAATTGGTTATTCCCCAAGATATGGTCATACTATGGCTGGTTGGTGGTTGACCTATCCCTCTGAAAAATGATGGAGTGAGTAACAGTTGGGATGATGACATTCCCAACTGCATGGAAAGTCATAAAATTCATGTTCCAAACCACCAACCAGATGGGGTTTTGGATTCTCCCATTGTCAAAAAGAAACAAAACATTGGGGATACAGCTTCATCCATCGCAAGGTCTCTGCTCTTCTGAGCGGCCATGATGGATCAAAAATACCGGAGCTCCGTTTATGGTGAAAAACATTGTCAATTTTGCTGGTTATAAACCATGAATATCCATGGTTATTACATGTTGCTATGGTTTATGTTCCAGGAAGCTTAAAACAAAACGATCCAGGATTTTCCACATTCACCATCCAGCTGGTAAAAAACATTCACCATTCACCATGAAAGATGAAACCAAAAGATGAATCCTCTGGTAATTTGTTACATAGCTATTACCCTCTGGTAAACTAACATAACTATGGAAAATCACCATTTCTAATGGGAAAATCCACTATAAATGGCCATTTTCAATAGCTATGTTAGTTTACCAGAGGGTATTTAGTTCGTTGATTTACCCATGAAAAATGGGTGGTTCTTCCATTAAAAAAAAAAAACTGTTCGTTTACCATAAGCCAACCAATCTTCCCCCGTTGAGGTGGCTACAATATGGGGGTTATGTTGGCACACCCGTTATGTGTGTTGCTTATAAACCAATAATACTTTAGTTATAATTATATATATACACAAGTATATAAGTATATAAGTATCATAAACCATAGTTATTGGATGTATAAATCATATAGACCAACTTAGCTATCATTTGAGGGAGCCACATTGTAATCGTTAACGCATCACTCTCGGTTTCTTCTAGATACTGACTTACTCTATAATATCCTATCACATATCTGTATCTTAGTTAGTTTTACAACTAGCATGCATTGCTTAAACGATTTCTGTTGGTTAAAAAGTATTACTTAAATCTACCAAGTTCCAATAACGTCAGCGACTTTGCACATTACACCCCTACCTACCTTCTCTATATGACTGTTCATGTATGATAATTGGATTAGTTGTTAGTTCTTGCATCCCAGAAAACATCCCCATATCATTGTTGGTTTATACTATACCCATATGTGTATATATATCTTAAGATACCTAGCAAAAAAAGTCACGATAAAATATAAAATAGATGTATAATCAATATTATTATTTTTACATAATACATATTTATATATGTGATCACTATAAATAGTTATAAATATAAATAGCTAGATTTTCAATGGTTCCAATCCCCAATCTATGTCGTTCTCCTGGAAAAACGTCGGTGGACCCACCTCACTGATATACTTGGTGGACATCTCAGAGACCAAGGTGGATGTTGAGGCCCGACGCACTTTGGGCGCCGCCCCTGCGAAGCTTGGGGTGCCAGTTTTCTCCAGTGTGAGGTGGATGTTTTCGACCAACAAAGATAGTTTAACTATGGAAAAAGATGTTTAACCAAGGTCAACAATCCATACTGGTTGGTGGTATACCTACCCCTCTGAAAAATATGACTTCGTCAGTTGGGATGATGACATTCCCAATATATGGAAAAATAATCCAAATGTTCCAAACCACCAACCAGCATATTTTCCTTGAATCCATATTTTTTCAATCAACAAAAGGTCCATGTTTTTCTTCATTTCAAGGAAACCTTTTTGATTTTTTGGGATCAATTCAAGCGTGCCCTTCGCCGTGTCGCGCTGAGGATGATACTGTGGATGGTTGAGAAATCCGATAAACCACCAATTTTGGATGGTTGATTTTTTTTTATAATGGATGTTTAATCTCTATCAACTGGTGCAGGATTTCGCAACCGTCCACGGTAGTGGTGATTTACTTGTCTAATGTTTTGGAGGTTACTATAACATACTACAACCTTAATTAATGATTTGAAGTTGCAAAGCCAGTGGTTGGGATAGACAACAATCCCAGTTACCCTCTGGTTAACATAGCTATGGAGGCCATGGCCCATAGAAGTACATAGAAATACATAAATAATTATGATGAATTACCTATTAAAAAAGATGATTTTCGAGTTCGCTAAGTTAAATAACCAGAGGCTATCCCAGTCACAATTAAGGGCCTATTCTCCACTTGTACCATTTCGAAGCATCACTTAACAGCTGATTCCTCGTCATGGTAATCGACTTGGATGGAAATGCCCCATTGGAAAACCTCCGGCTACGCAGTAGATGAAGCAATCCGTATACATCCCGGGCTGCATACCTCCAGTTATGCAACTTTTACAGCTGTAGACAATTGTATATCCCATCTGAATCATATTATATATATACTGGTTTGAGGATGATATGATGCCTGCCAGCGTTCTGTCATTCTAATCCATTATATTTTGGCTCATTTCGATTGTCAACTAATCAACTAATCATAGTACACCCTCCAGTAGTCAAACGTGGCAATGGAAAATAACCTATTTATAGATGATTTTTCCCCTTGTAAACCTCCATTGATAGGGGATTTCCCATTGCCACGTTTGATTATCAGAGGGTATATGTTGTATCATATCCCCATATTAAATGTGTGCTATTATATCTCATTCTATGCCATTTCTGTGTGTTAAATCATGCTACATCAAATCAAAACAAAAGCAGCAACCTACAACACCTTCCCACCTTCCATTCCTACCTTGATTCATATATGATGGTTGGATTGGCTATTACCCGCCTGAAAATATGTTCTCTGGTAATCTAACATAGCGATGGAAAATCATTAGTGTTTAAAACACTAAATCAGCAAACTAAGTTTACATGGGCCATCTAACCCAAAGCAAACTGTTACAGTACCACACTGTATTGCAGATAGAATTACCATCCACCATTGGTTTATTCGTTAAATTATAGTAAATTTGTGATATTCCCATGTTATGAGTTTATAATAGGTTATACCACGATGGTTGATGATTCATGATATTAATATATGTGAAATGGCTTGCCATGGTCAAAACATTGCTTACATGCCCATAAAAGAAAAGGGTCATCAATCCATTAAAAGGATTAATGTCAACCCTGGATTAACAAACCCCTAAGCTGTTTAATTGGGGGGGTACCATTTAAGTATCAGATGAAATGACTATTGGAGGAGTACCCCCTAATTAATAAACCATGGTTTAGTCTCATCCGGGGTTGACATTACCATGGGATGGATACGGATGGATCACTATGATAAACCATGTACAAAAACGTGTTGTTTTTTTTCCCATACATTCCCATAGGAAAATTCGACCATGAATGTGACCATGGCACAAAGTGCCATGGCCAATCTTAGATACCCTGCGAAAAAAAAATAGCTGGTTAGTAGTTAGTAGATAACCCCATTGATACCAAAAGATTAAAAGGATTATTTCCTACCCATCTAAGACTCTAAGATTGACCTAAAAAAATACCATAGCCACAGCACACTTGCCACCAGCACCGGCACCGCCTGAAAAGAGTGTGGGCCATTTCCGCACCTTTTCTGCTTCCTGTGCCGAGGTAACTCAGAGCCCAGTTATAGATTTATACAATGGTATAACAACTGGTTGGTGGTATACCTACCCCTCTGAAAAATATGATTTCGTCAGTTGGGATTTTCATCCCCAATATATGGAAAAATAATCCAAATGTTCCAAACCACCAACCAGACAAGGTAAATGTCATGGTTTAACATATCTATATAACGTCATATATATATATATGTGTGTGTGTATAATAGGTGTGTATAATAGGTGTATATATATATATATATAACAATTACAGAAGAATGGTATAAAAAGGTTAAGAATGGATATTACCATGATAACTGGAATATTACACTAACTATTCATAATCTGTTCACAAAACAGGAAGCTATGACCCAAAAAAATGGATGTGAATGGGTCAAGTGAAAGGTTTTGCTGTTTGTTAATGTGGTACATGGTACGGTACACAACTAATGATCATTAATATAGTCAAATGATCAATGGCCATGCAACAGGTTCCGATTGATTGGAGGTACCAATCCCATATATTACCGGCCTATTTTTCAGGCCTAAATTTCAGGGGATATACCCCCAAAATATGGCCTGAAAAATGGTACAGTACCTCCATTTTAGGATCCTGGAATTCCCATTGAAATGATGTATATATATATATCCCCATCTATTCAACTTTATCATTTGGTTGGTACGATTATCAAAAAATACATCCCAAGAAAAGATCAAACAAGGGGTTTAAAGTTTACCGCTGTACATATATAAATATATATGTATGTGTAGGTTCTAGATCCAAACTTCAATATCCCCGCCACACCATCTTTCTCCCGATCCGGGACCGCTGTACTTCCTTAAGCCATTAAAGGCTTTTGACGCACAAGAGGTTATGAACCTGTCTCTGGCTTGGCCAGGAAAAACGTATTTGGGAAAACTAGGTTTTCTTCCCCATTATATCATCATGAATCATCAATGTATTGGATAATTTTGGGTAGTATAAGCCAACCTAATTCATCAACCAACAGGGGTTTTCTTCACACTACCAAAAAAACATCATAGGAAGTTTCACCATGGAATCCAGAAGCTATATCATCTCTATGTCTATATCTATATCCCTAGTTTTTAGTGGGATTAGCAGGCTTCATCCACCAAAATTCTGGTCACCTAAGCCACTTGCGATTCCTGGGCTAGCACCGAAGACCTTTTTTCCATCGCGTCGTCCAGCGTGAAAATTCGGATGGCGCCAGCACCGATCCTAAAACTCAGAATCTTCGTCCTCGTCCTGAACGTCCTCATTGCCTTAGTCAAGGCTTGGGTTTTCATGTGATCGAAGCACCCTAAACAAACGGGGTACAAATGGGGATACCCCAAGTGAAAAGGCCGTTTTGGTAGGGAAAATCATGATTGACCCTAATTGACTGATGAAAAAAAAAGGGTTTTACTCTAAATTGTCCCACGAACTTCCATCACTCTCTGCCCAACCGTTGGGCCCGCGAAGGGAAAATTTCTCATCTGCTTGAAAACGTGGTCCCTTTTTTGGATCCGGAAATCAAAGGTTCATGGGCAATTTCGATGATTTTCTGTACACATCAAAAAAAAAACGCAATAAATCCATACCAGTGACCTTCACATGGATGTCTTGCCTCTGAAGCTGTGGTGCATCATGAAGTGAACCCCCCAAGTTGTACTTGGATGGGCCATTTTTATTAGCGATTCCTGGTTAGTGACTGGCTAAATTTTTGACCCACTCTATCCCGATGATCCACTTAGCTAGTTAGCTAACCCAATGGCCCATCAGTTGTATCTCCAAAAACCCATAGAATTCACCAACTGGTCACTGAACATCAACTTGCTGGCGACTCGTTGGCGCAAGAATTCATAGCAATTTAAAGCCATAGTTAGAAACTGGTTGGTATACTTGACCCTCTGGAAAATGATGGAGTGAGTAACAGTTGGGATTATTATCCCCAATATACATATATATATAATTATATATATATATATGGAAAAATCATCCAGTCATGTTCCAAACCACCAGGTTTCAGGTCGTCTCAAAATGGACATCCCATTCCATCCGAGAAAAGTCACCTTCGAAAAGTCATGGCGGCCATGGCTGTGAAAAATATCCCATGATAGCTCCATCAAATGGGCGGTTTTAATTGTTTTATTCAATGGATTGGTTTCAGGGAAAATTTACAGGAAAGCCCCATGATCTTCATGGGAAAATCGATGGTTTCCGGTTAAGATGTTCCCCAACAAACCAATCCATTGATTTATACCCAATCATAAAAATATCAAAAATAGATGCTCCCATGATGGTTGCCTGTTGAACTGGAATTACACTGGAATTACATCCATGTGTCCAATTCATAATGCATCACTTGCGGCTATCCCAACTGAGATATTCCATGATATTCCTAATAGATGCATGTTCATATATACATATGTATGTCTGTATAATATTTTTTTTCACTGGCAGTGTATGTGTTCAAATAAATCTAAAGAAGTGATACATTCCCTTACATGCCTTGTTTACATTCCCTTAAATTTGCCGACATGAACGTCGCGTCGGAGCTGCGCGTGGTGCGCGCGTAGATCTCAACGAACTCCTCGAAGGTGCATTCGAAGTCTTTATCTTCCAACTCCTGGGGTTCGTTGAGGGCCCTAGGGAGGGGAAACCTGGTGCTGTCTTGATCTGACGAACTGGACTGTTTATGTATTGATGTATGGAAATGTATGGAAATGTTACATAGATGTTGTGCTTCATGGTTTGTAGAGTTAGGTGCCTTGTTCTGGTGTTTTGTTCAACTCAAAAGCATTGGGATCTCTGGGGGAATTGATCAATATCCATGTAAGGTGATATGTTGACGCATGTTTTGAATGTTGGGGAACTGTGGGATCCAGTTGTTTCAACCATGTGAGTTGAAATAATGTCAGATATATCAGGATTCAAGCAGGATAACTTTGCAGAAGAGATTTAAAGTTAGTTGATGCTTTCATCAGTGGCCATGCAACAGGAACCGATTGATTGGAGCTACCAATCCCATATATTACCGGCCTATATCAGGCCTAAATTTCAGGGATCCCCAGAAAATATGGCCTTAGTTATATGGTACTACCGTAGCTACACTTTAGGATCCTGGAGATCTTCCATTGATTTCAGTGGCAGACCACTGAAATGTCATCCCTCACCGCAGATGTCGATGGCCATCGTTTGTAGCAGATTTTGATGGCCATCGTTATCTCTTTTGATGGGATATCATAGGGATTTTAAGAGGCTTTATTTACTGGAGAATGGAATATCATAGGCATGACTTCAGGCTGAATTATTGGCTAAGTCACTCAGCTGAAAATAGCGTCACATCCTCTGAATCCCTATGATAGTTGGGGAGAAACCACCTTTTTTTGCTTGTTGAAAGCCCCATTGATCCACATATGAGATGTTATATAGCTATCTATCTATTTATCTATCTATCTACCTAGCTAGCTAGCTAGCTACCTACCTATCTATCTATCTATCTATCTATCCATCTATCTATCTATCTATACATTGCATTGCATTGCATTACATTACTTTACATTACTTTACATTACATTACATGACATTACATTACATTACATACACCTTATATTACATATATAATATATATATATGTCCTAAAACATCCTTTAACCATCATGAACCATGCTCATATCCCCATCTTTAGGTTCCCAGTCCCTTCAGCCATCGCCTAAACGCCGAAAGGTCCTTCTGCAGGTCCGCAGGTAAACTTCGACCACTCACTTCCAGCAACACTGCCGCCTCCTGAAGCTGGAAATCTTCCAGCCGTCGATGGAAAACTCCCGGCTTTTTTAAAGCTGAAGCTGGAAAGCCAGGGTAGGGGTCATCATAAAAGCACTGGAAAGCCATAAAAGCCTTATCAACCTGGATAAATCATGGTGACCAATTAATAACAATTTTATCTAGATAGTAATGACTATTATTCCACGCAACCAACCTCTCCTATAGGTTTCCTATCTTTGAAACTTCCGCCACCGCCTTGTGCGGTACTACTGGTATCTGTAGTTACGTATTGTCTAAATATGGTATACCACTGTCACTGGCATGTCCATTTATTGTAGTTCTTATTTGAACCAATGACCAACATTCACCCTTCACACATCAAAGACGAAACAATTCACCAAATAAGCATCCCGTATTCCCCATTTGTTGCGGTTAAAACGCAATATATTTCATTTGTGTTTGCCCAATTATTGATTGTTCACTGAAACTGTGGGTATGGGTCGGGTCAAAATTGGTTGATCCAGAAGACGATGTCCTTTTGGGCACCCTTGTCATTTGATGAAGCTTCATGTTGAGAGATTCCTGAGAATGGCCAACTAGATAGAACTATTCTGAAGTGATTTGTGATTCCATTCCCGGGGTCTTCCAGTGACTCCTTTCAAATCTTGAATGGGTCCGCATGATCTTTGGAAAATTTTGGAGAGTCTCACTGTCTCACCATGACATTCAGCTTATACCCAATCATGTATCCCGTATCCCTCCAACTATCCTGATTGTCATGAGTTCTTGCCTATTTCATCCCAACCCCCTTCATACTCTTAATACCCCGGTTGTTTGGGACATTCCACAACATTTTTCAACATGTCACAAGACTTTTCGGGCTTAGAATTGATGATTTTATATTGAGCTATTCATAGAATTGGATGATGGGAAAATTTGCAGGAAACCCCTATATTTTATGGTGAAAACCATGGTTTCCGGTTAAGATTTTCCCTTAAACCAATCCATTGAGCCATTCAAAATAAAACCATTGGGATTCAATGGGACCGCGGGATCCTGACCGATCAGCTTTCCATCGTCGTCGGAATCAAAGGCTACCTGAGACACAGAGCGGAGTTCTAGCATAGCCTCAAGAGCCTCGAAACGGAGATCGTTATTGATATAAAACATTAATAAACATGATAAAACCACCTATGAGACCTATTACATGTGAAATGTATGCAAATGTCATGCAATCATGCAGTTGTGATGTGAAAATTCAACACTAGATTACTAGATCCACATCGATAAACATCGATAAACACTAGTTTTCTCTGGTTCTTGTTACTGGGGGTGCCGTCTTTTTGTGCCACTTTCCAACTCAGCTGGTTCTGTCGAGTTGGTAGCCAGGGTGATCTCGCATGACGCAAAAGATCAGTTTTTAGGTTGTAGCCCCAACAATACCACCAATGGTTAATAGTGGTTGATCAATGGTTATTACTGTAATGGTTATTAATGGTTAGTACAATAATAATCATGTGTAGTAATGGGGATACAATAATTGTCAACTGTTAGTAATGGTTAATAATTCCGGGGATAACATGATTAACCACTATTAACCATTACGAACCATGACTATTATCCCATTACTATTAGTAATGGTTAATAATGGTTCATAGTGGTGAATCATGTTTAATAATAGTAATCAATCTGGTTGGTGGTTGACCTACCCCTCTGAAAAATATGAAAGTCAGTTGTGATTATTATTCCCAATGTATGGAAAAAATTCTCCAAATGTGCCAAACCACCAACCAGAAAATCAGGATTGACATGATTTAGTTGGCCAAATCCCTGTGATGGGGAAAAGAGACATGAAAAAGCACATGTGAGTCATGTGAGCGTGTTTGAATTCAAGAACCTTTCGAGCATGTGAATTCAAACAGTTCGAAGGAGCGGTTTCCTGTTGTGAGTCACCAGCTTTTCTGGTTGAATTTCCTTCGATGGCTTCACCCTACGCCACCAGCTTGGGCCCTGGGGTTTGGGCTTCTACGGAAAAGCCAAGGTGCTTTGGCTACCCTCCGGTGATTTGAAACAGCAATCCAAAATCCACTAGTCCGATGGTTTTGCCTATAAAGCTCCGTGGCTAGTTTGGGGATTCCCATGATATGAATATGTCTACTATCCCATAAATATCCCATCAACATTCCCATGAATCTTCCATGAATCTTCCACCATGGAAATCTAATCAGGTCACGAAGGCTTCCATCAGCGCAGCATCGAAAGCGCCGTCCTCACCAAGTTCTGCGGCCTGGAAAACGGGGTGAAAACATGGTGGTTATTGAAACACAACTGGGTCCAGTTCCGGCTAAAAGGCTAAAAAAAACATATTGAAACACAGTCATGGCTTTCAAGCGTGGTGAAAACATGCTAAAACACAACTCAATGGATTGGTTTAAGGGGAAATTTACAGGAAAAGCCCATATTTAATGGGAAAATCGATGGTTTCCTGTAGATTTTCCCTTAAACCAATCCATTGAACAACTGGTTTCATCAAACAACATGAAAACCGCCAGCCGCAAAGCGCTGGCGCAGCCGCACCTTCTGTTCCACGAAGTCGCGGGCTTCGGATTCCGCTTGTGCCATGATCTCGCTCATGGTCTCGGGCGTTGAAGCAATATATGGTTGGTTAATACCCTCTGGTTATTTAACATAGCCATGGAAAATGGCCCATATATAGGTGGTTTACCTATTAAAATGGTGATTTTCCATGGCTATGTTAAATAACCAGATGGTATATCTACAGCCAATAGTGGAACTTAAATTTCCATATAAGTGGAACCATATCAGTATAATATTATCCTACATATTATCCATATGGTTATATTGAGATAATATTATAATGTTATATTTAGATACTGGTTACTATAACAATATTGTAGTGGAACATCATACCCTCTGGTAAACGTTTACATAACTATGGAAAATTACCATGTTCAATGGGTAAATCCACTATTTCTATGGCCATTTTCAATAGCTATTTTGACATAACCAGAGGGTATTGGTCAATAGTTTTGGTCGGTGAAGATGGTTTTTCAGCACCGTTTTCCCCAAAATTTGGTTGGGGGTGTTAGGGGTAACTATAGCCAAAATAGCCTTTAAATGGACTATGATTCTCCATATTACAGGGATTTTACATGATTTTACCGTATCTAATCTATAGATCATTCCCCAAAATAGCCTTATCTATCCTTATTTCAGATTAGTGCTCACTAGTGGAATTTCTCCAGACATATCCAGATCATCCCCGACTGTCGGCAGGCAACGTCTTGTCGTTGGGGGTTCCACACGAAGGCGATGTTCACAATTTAGAGCCCGGAACAGTTGTGTCATTTCGCTAAATCTCCGAGTTTCTTGGCATCAGCTAAATCCTATACATTTACAAATCATTTACAAATCATTTACATACATTTCACATCCAATTTTCCAAAAAACCGTCATTTTTTGGGCATCTTTGCAGGCTGGCGGTCGGAAAAAAATGGGATGAGCTCATCCCCCAGATCCAAGACACGGAGACGGCTTGGGAATACTCCACTGACTCCATGAGTTTCCTGATTTTTCGAGCCGAGGGCGGGGCCGTTGAGAGCCAACAAATCGGAACCTGTTGCATGGCCATTGATTTTCATTGGTATATCACCAACTAATCATGGGTATATCATGATCAATGGATTGTGGAAAATGTTACAGGAAAAAAAAACATGATCTTCATGGGAAAATCCCATGGAAACCCCGGGTTTCAGCTTTTCCCCAACAAACCAATCCATTGAAACATGGAATATAGTGGGTTGTATGTATCTAACATCATATAATATGATGTTACGCATTTTCATGGTGGCATGCAATGGAAAAACAAAATGTATTACTGTCTATAGATGATTGTATGATCATCTATGGCCGATCTTAGACACCATATATTATCAAGGGGTGAATATTGTAAGCACTTCAATACCAAGTGGGAAGCCTCGTTACCTCAACTTTTATGTAATTCATTTGATAGTTTCGCTGGTAATAATGATGTAGTGTTTCATAGAAACAGGGTTGAATTCTTTAGATTAGGAACTGGTTATACTACTATAAATGGAGCACCAACAAACTTATTAAATGTTGATACTAGCACTGGTGTTTCTTCAAGTTGGATGTTTGCTAATATCTTTGCTAATAGAACCGACAATACAAATACTGAATTTAGAGGTGCTATTAGTGGTGGTAGTCGTTGGGGTAAAATCTATATGTTGTATGAGTATGTTGATGAAAATTTACATTTCTATACCGATGTCTAGATGAAGGCAAGAAGTTATATTTGAATAAAACTAGTCTAAAAGAGTGCTAGATTCATAGCTTCGTTGAAAGCAGTGTTAAGATACTGTCATTAGTAAATAATGATACTTCAGGTCAAAATCGTATATTGTGGGGGTAATTTAGTAATTGATATGTCAGGCACTGTTTTGAATTTGAAACAAAATACAACAGTTGTAGCAGGTGCGACATTAACTGGGGAGTTAGTCGATACATCTGATAAAAAGAAAAAGTATGACATCAAAGCAGTTGAACATAATATGACTGACATTGTCAAAGCAATTGAACCCAAGACTTTCAAAATGATTGATGAAAAAAAAATAGGCATAACAAAAAATCATATTGGTTTTGTTGCTGATGATTTGATTAATGAAATACCTAGTGAATGGGAAAATATAGTCTTAGAAAATGATGAAGGTATCAAGCAACTAAATTATATTAAAATGAATGCTATATTATGGGGTGCTGTTAGGGAGCAACAACAAAAGATAGAACATTTGGAAAGTTCAGTTTATGAACTACAAGAAGCAATGAAAGAACTAGTTAAACCAAAACCCAACCCAAGGCAAAAGCAAAATCTAAAGTTTAACAAATATAATATAATGTATATATGGGTTCGAAACAGTCCACAGTTAAAAATAATTGTATGGAAGAAATCAATAGTATAAATGAAGATGACTGACTTAGATATTAGCAATATAGATAAACTACAAATAAAGGCAATAAAAGAACTGTCTGAAAAGATTAAGGACATAGAAAACATGGTGCAGTCCCGCCTTTCCATTTGATTCCCGGTCTTGGGCCTTTTGCAGAGTTCCAATCGGCCCTGTCGGAATCATCCTTTTCAGTCACCAGCTGTCTCAAAGCACGCAGCAAATCTTGCTGACCAGAAACATTGGGCTGTGGCAGATTCGGCTGGGTCACCTGATTCTGTGGGGCGTCAGGGTCGACCGTTGGATCTCTTGTAGGGACCTCTGACTCCGCTCTCTCTTCAGAACCATCTGGGGAATCGCTACCTGATGGATATCCTCGTCTTCGTCGTCGTCTTCTGCTTGAAGTCGAAGGAGGTGAATCAACATGAGGCACGAACATCCATGTTCCAGCATCGGTGATCTGCTTTGTCGGTCTGTCACCTCTGTAAAACGACCCGTGGCCACAATCTGCACACTTCCAGTCCCTGCCAACTGCGTATGATGAAGTTGAATCGCACATCAAACATCGCCACACACCGTTGGCCGAGGAATTGCTAAAGGCTGTATTGGGCTCTTCCTGAATCGTTCTCGATGGTGATGGGTCTTCCGGAGACTGGGAAAACAGGTCAAACTCATCATCTATTCCATCTAAATCTGACGGATGCAATGATGGATCCACGTCCTCGACCGTCTCACGAAATCCGGAATGCCATGCACGGGGAAGCATTAACCCCAAAGTCACCACCGCGGCTCCGGTGCCAACTGATCAAAATGCAATGATGAAGGCGCTCAGCAAATGCAGTTTGTTTTCCATGCGTCGGCTCACGCAGTAAAAGGAGCAAACAAGGCTCAGGATCCTCGAGGAGTAAATGGCCACGGTGAAGGATCAACAGATGAGTCAGGAAGGTGTGGCACAACTTTGTCATATACAGTAGATCATTAAAAACCTGCTTCTTGAATCCATGTGAGGTGGGTATCAGGGGGGGGTACCATATATATATATATCATGATGAAGATATTACGATTGATCTATCGAAATCTCAACAAATGGGCTCGGCGGGGCTTAGTTTCACAAACTGTTTCACATTCTGAGCGTCAGAAGTGCTAGATAAAAATGATGGTTCAGTTTGGTACTGTTGACTCTTAGTATCCTCTTAGTCCCTCTATTCATCAATTTATTCAATTTTCAAGCAGAAACGGCATGCCGCGTGAGGCCCCCGCTGCCAGCACGAAGAAAAGATCTGCCCCTTGCTGTCGAGCATTGGCGATTTCAAAGGATGAGTATTCAATATGGTCAAGGCAAAGCAAGGCAAAGAAACCAAATCCCGCGGCCTCAGCAACAGCAGCAGCGGCGCCGTAAGCGCCGCTGCTGCAGGGCCTCCTGCTCCAGGGACTCCTCGTAGAGCGGAGGGTCCTGGAACCCCTCCACCTCCTCCTCCTCCAGGTCCTCCGCCTCCGAATACCAGCCTGGAAGGGCTGGTTCCGGAACATTCCTTGGCACGTAATGAGTAAGTCAGCAAGTAAGTCAGCAAGTAAGTCAGCAAGTAAGTAAGCAAGTAAGTAAGTTAGCAAGTAAGCAAGTAAGTAAGTCAGAAAGTCAGTAAGCAAGCAAGGGAATAGGTAAGAAAGGAAGTGAAAGAATGAGTAAGTAAGCAAGTGAGCAAGTAAGCAAGTCAGTAAGTCAGTAAGTAAGAACCCAAGTCAGTAAGTGAGTGAGTGAGTACGTGAGTAAGTGAGTAAGTGAAAAAGTGAGTAAGTGAGTAAGTGAGTAAGTGAGTAAGTGAGTGACTGAGTGAGTGAGTGACTGAGTGACTGAGTGAGTGAGTGACTGAGTGACTGAGTGACTGAGTGAGTGAGTGAGTGAGAAAGTAAGAAAGTAAGAAAGTAAGAAAGTAAGAAAGTAAGAAAGTAAGAAAGTAAGAAAGTAAGAAAGTAAGAAAGTAAGAAAGTAAGAAAGTAAGAAAGTAAAAAAGTGAAAAAGTGAAAAAGTAAGAAAGTAAGTAAGTAAGTAAGTCAGTAAGTCAGTAAGTAAGGAAGGAAGACTGTAAAGTAAGTACCTAAGAATGTGAATAGGTAAGTCAGTAAGTAAGTAAATAAGTAAGTAAGTAAGCAAGCAAGTCAGTAAGTATACTTTACTTTACTTTAATTTAATTTACTTTACTTTGCTTACCTACCTACTTACTTACTTACTTACCCCCTGACTTACTTACCTATCTACCTACCCGCCTACCGACCTACCGACCTACCTACCTACCTACCTATGTACCTACCTACCTACCTACCTACCTACCTACCTAACTGCCTGCCTAATTACTGCACTTTTAGCAAGAGCGATGCCTGCAAGGGCATTGCCAGCAAGAGGAATGCCAACAACGGCGCTGCCAGCAACGGCATTGCCAGCAAAGGCAATAGTAAGGTTCTTTTCCGGTCTGTCCGTCTCTCTCTTTCTCTCTCACTTACGTACTTACTTACTTACATGCTTGCTTGCTTGTTTGCTTGCCTTTTTTTACCTGCAAACTTCTTCGCTGGCTTGCTTACTTGCTTTCTGTCTTTTTTCGGTACTTACTTACTGACCGACTTACTTGCTTACTTTCTTTCGTACTTACCTACCTACATACTTACTTATACTTACGTACTTACTGACCGGCTTTCTTGCTTACTTACTTTCATACTTACTTACCTACATACTTACTTAAACTTACGTACTTACTGACCGGCTTACATGCTTACTTAATGATTTTCTCACCTACTTTCCTTTTTACTTACTTGTTTACTTTCTTACCCGTGTACTTACTATCTCTCTTACTTACTGACTGACTTACTTACTTTACATTCTTACTTGCTTACTTTACATTCTTCCTCACTTACTTACTTATTTTACATTCTTACTTACTTACTTCCTTTCTTCCTTGCTTCTTTACGTCCTTACCCTACATTATTATTGCAAAGCGACCCCGTCGACACAATGGAACTATACCAAACGAATGTGTCGACAATCCAGAGGCAACTAGATAACTGATAACACATCCTACGGTGATCAACAGTAGAATTGATAAAACACCAGCATTTGGAACCTGTGATGCAGAACTGAGTCAGTCATTCGCGCCACTGGAGGGCATCAATCGTGTTGGTTGCATCCCATAAACATCATTAACCATAAAAAAGCTCCATTTTTTTTTTCTTCTGCCAAAACCTCCAGCTTGGTCAATACTAAAGGTCGTAGGCACTAACTAGCTTTGAATTAAAAGATATACACTCCTAAGGCCACGCTCACTTGTGAAAGAATAGAGAACAAGTTTCCAATTAATGCTAAGAGCCTTCACATTGATGATATTTCACATTGAGAGTAGTTCACACTGAAAGTGTCTCACACTGGAGAGCTTCACATTGAGAATAGTTCACACTGAGAGTCATTCACACTGAGTTTGAGCTGTGTAGTCTTCAACCGTTTCCTTTGTGAAAAGGGGGCTGGTAAAGATGGGCTTGTTCGATGATTCGTTCCCGTATCTCTCTGTTATATCTGTCGAATGGGATTTGGGGTGCCGATGGGTCTGTGTTTCTTATCACTTCCTATGCTTTTTGCATATTGTTACTGGTCCAAAACTGTCTGGGTCTTCCGACTCTTCGCATTTCAGTTTCTCTCGGGAGAGCGGATGTTGTTGAAAAAGTTGCTTGGTGAAGAGGGTGGTTTCTGTCTCTCCTGAGGATGTGTCCGAGTAATTTGAGTTTTCTTTCCTCCAAAATTTCGGTCAGAGGTTTGATTTTTCGATCGAAACCTGTAGTCGGCGCGTTAAGGGTTTCATTTGCCCTTCGGTATACGTATTCATTGGTGTTGTGGCGTTGTATGTATGTTGTGTGTAGTTTCAGAATCTTTCGTAAGCCTTTGAGCTGGAACGTATTAAGAAGACATCCAACTGACTCAGTTGGTTCCAAGGTTTCTAGGCCGTAGAGAACTTTGCTAGTAATTACTGCATTGAATACGCGCAGTTTCCAAGATCTGTTGCATTGCGCTTTTCCCCAGAAAATGTCCAATTTTTTCAAAATGGCCATAGTAGCTGAGATTCGTCGTCTTATTTCATGTTTGGGATTGACCGTGCGAGTGATAGAAGCTCCTAAGTAAGTAGATTCATCCGTCGACTTCATAGGATCCCCATTTTGGAAAGCGATAGAACCGCGACAGTTGAAAGCAATGTAGCAACATTTTGACTTGTTTAGATTGAGGTCCAAATATTGAGATTCTTCTTCGATAAGGTGCAAGTATTGGTTAGCACTGGCAAAGCTTTTGGTCAGAATTAATGTATCATCTGCGTACAGCAATTCGTGGAAATTAATTCCTTGGAAAGTTTTTGCGTAGCGTGGGTCGTTGAACCTGCGGTGAACATCATGAAATAGCACGTGCATTGTCACAATGAATAGGTATGGGCTGAGGGGACAGCCTTGCCTGATTCCAGTACGTTGGCTCAACCATGACGAAAATTTATCTCGGTGCATCACTTGAAACATCGGTTTCTGGTAAATAGCTTTTATGGCATCAAGGATTTCAGCTGGAATACTCATTCTGTGGAGGGATTGGAACATTTTTTCATGACTAATTTTATCAAAAGCTTTTTCCCAGTCTAGGAAGATCAGAATTAATTTATCGTGACCTTGTTCAACGACGTCCGTGAGTCTTCTTAGGCAAAATAGTGGGTCAATAGTGGATCTGGAAGCTCTGAAACCAAACTGCGTCGGACTGAGGTGTTCTTCAAGCGCCATAGCTAGTCTTGATTTCAAGATATAGGCGTAAATTTTGTATGAAACATTAAGCAAAGAAATTGGTCGGTAGTTTTCAGGATTTTCATGATCGCCCTTTTTGTACAAGCTTGCTATGTGAGCTTGGGTAAAATCATCTGGGACCAATTTTGCACGCCATAATGCATTTAAACAATTTGTAAGTGAGTCCACGTTGCTAGAGTCCAAATACTTGAAAAGTTCCACAATTGAACCGTCTGGCCCAGGCGCTTTATTTGTTTTCAGCTTGTGGATTGCTTCTGTGACTTCAGAGCTTTGGAAAATTCCGATTTCGGCCTGAATGTTTTGGAGGACCATGAGCTTAGTATTATCAATCGGCGTTGCAACTTCGTTTGGCCCCCAATGTTTGTAGTGAAGGTAATCGGCAAGCGCACTCGCTTTTTGAGAATTCGGAACACGATTTCCATGGACGTCCTTCATGCTATAAAAATTTGGGGTGAAATTTGACTTTTCAAACTTTATGTTTTTCCAACATTCCCGACAGTCTGTGAGATCTTCTAATTTGTTGAGTTTCCAGTGTTGTTTATCACGCTTCGCACTTTTAGACACTTCCTTATTGAGCCGGCTTTCTTCCACACAATCGCCATTTTCCCTAGCTTTTTGTCGTTCTTCTATTAGATTCCAGGTAGTCCCCGAGATGTAACTACGGTTTATCGCCTTATTTTTACGAGGTAAAATTCGTTCGGCAGCTTGCTTCATAGTTTGAACAAATTTGGCGACCCCACAGATGTGCTGGTATAATTATATATATATATATCTCCCAGTGTATATATAATTATATATATATCCCAGTGGCATCCCTGTTATTGATTGTAGTAGCCCCGAAAAAAAACGGAAAGGTATTTCCAGGATTGTATATATAATTAATGTGTTATCCATAATTTCCAGAAGTCCAACTTTTGTATCGTTTTAGCGTTTGCTATACAATCATGTGGTTGGGAAATTCTTACAGCAATAGCTCCTTGCTCCCCATTCTACACGCAATATGGATAGTCATAGCTCCTTGGCTCCCTCTGAACCACAGGATAATACATTATACCACCATTATACCACCTTTTTTGTTGTTAAAATATGTAAAATCAAACTGTTTGATGGTTACATTACCAATATTGTCTGTTTTTCTATCCCCCCAAACAAAGCCCGCAAGCATCGTTGATGAAGCAAACTTCCTTCGGGGTGATCCCCACCAGTTGACATGATTTCTGACATATTCTGACGTTTAACATTCCATCTGACCTATATTCTGGCATATTATATGTCATGTTTCTTGTATTCTTTCTGACATATCGCCTGACATATTCTGACAGTTTATCTTACATTCTATCTGACTTATATTTTGTTGTTGCGTGTTTCTGGCATTAACTTTATCTGGCATTCTTTCTGACATACATTCCGACAGTTAACAATGTGACATTTTACATCTAAAATCATTTAGCGGGATTGTTTGGGCATTCTAGACATATATTATCAATTCCTCAACTTTCACTCACCTGTCTGTTGCAAAATCAACTGTTGCAGCATGCCCATCGGAGTGCTGAATGAACGTTTCACCGTAATCTGATATTTCTAAGTGGCATCTAACATATATTCTGTCAGACGAAGGCGTTCTGAAGATGCCACGGCTCCTGGCTCGCCATGATGATTGCCGGAGGGAATATCTCTAATATTGAAAAAACTATGCATATCCAATATTCATCTCTCATGTTCATCTTCCAAATTATGATATTCCATTGATATTGCCATATATTTGTCCATATATATATATATATTTGTGCCATATTCTTCCATATGTTTCCCTATTTTTCCCTATTTTTTCCATATCTTTCCATGTTTTATTCCCATTAAGCCTTACACTCTTTGAAGCCATGCGTCTCATGCATCTCTTTCATGCCTGGAGCCGCGCCCGCGGGCTCCGACCTGGAAGCTCCAATGGGATGTGTTTTTTTTTTAGGGAACTACCCTCTGGTAAACTGTCACATAACTATGGAAAATCACCATTTTTAATGGGAAAATCCACTATTTCGACTGGGTCATTTTCAATAGCTATGTTAAATTACCAGAGGGTAATTGGTGGTTGACCTACCCCCTGAAAAATATGAAAGCCGGATTGGATCATCATCCCAACTATTGGGGAAAATAAAAAAAAAATGTTCCAAACCACCAACCAGGGATATTTATAGGGAAGAAATTGAAGGACTGATCATCATATTACAAAATAGGATATTATGATATATTATGTCTGGATATAAATACCATCATCACATTGAATTTTATTGGGCTATTATATCACATAAATATGAAGGTGAATTGAGATAATTAGAATTAGTACATGATGGTGACGTGGGATTAATTGTAGCATCATTTTATAGTACCCCTTTTCATTGATAAATGATGGTTAATTGGTCATTCTAGTTGTACTTTCCATTTTATTGGGGATTATAATACCCCCTATATGGGATACCGAAATTATTCCAACCAGTGTAATGGGACTTGGGAAAACGGGGGTTAATTTCTCATGTTTTAATTGGGACTTTCAATCAGACTTTCAATCTGGATTTGGATTGGATTGGTGGAAAAGATTGACCGGAAACCATGGATTTTACCGTGAAGATCATGGGCATGTCCTGTAAATTGTCCCTTTTCTTTCAATCCAACAAATGGGAATGCCATCAAGAGATTTGGATCCCACCATGAACAAAAGGCTGCCTTAGGCTGCCATCAAAACTGGGATTTAGGGAATTGGGACAAGAATAGACTGTGATTTCAATAGTTTACAGCTTGAACCTGACTGGGATTTAAGAAAATGGGATACAACTATCAATAGTGGGTTATTCAACATCATAAATGAAATGATTCTATGTCAAGATTGGGATTAAGAGAATTCAACAATCAACAAAATGAAGTGATTTCATCATCAAAACAATGTGGATGATATTGATTTGATTTTACATTTTCGTACCAACAAAACTTCGGAATATCCGTGATTTAACATGAGCAAAGCAACAAAGGTTGGGAATTCAACAAAATTCAACATACATCTTTGAGATTAATTTAAAAAAACAACATAAGTTTTAAGATCGCACGCAAACCCTTGGGTTTTGAGCTTAGTGACCACGATTTGGGTCACATGTTGCCACGGTTTAACGATGGAAACTCGGTGGGATTGTCCAAGTTCTGGAAAAGGCTCGGCTGTTGGGGTCGTAGTGGTGGCCTTCACATGTAAAAATGTGGCCTTTCAAGCTTCAAGTTACATACGGTTGTTTATATGTACATATATATATATATATGTAGGTGTGTGTGTGTGATATATATATATATATGTATGATTATATATGTATAAAAATATTACAGTTGAACATAGTTGAACTGTGATTTTTCAGGCATCTTGGCCTTTATTCTTTGAGGCTTCTACGGTAGACTCTGAGATCCCGACATAGCAGCGGATAGGCTCGCCTGTCGGACATGTGGTTCCTTGCCTTGGCATGTTTTAATGCCTGATGAAAATGGCATGTGATGACCATCCCGCAAGATTGCAAGATGGCAATGGGTCAAAACCTTGTACCCCTGGTGAACATCAAAATAGCTGGTAAATGGATGTTCATCCCCCTAAAAATGGTATTAATAGGTATTGATCCATACCCAGATTGCCAGACGAGAATGGAAACCAGAAATGTGAACAGACAAGGAGGATACTTACACATTTTTGCTGCTTACTGTCGGAGGAATGAACCTCACAACTGTCGTAAACGCTTTTGTGAATTGGCCACATGGAAGTTTTTCAACAGGGTTGGATCTCATCTCCTCGAACGCGAGGCTCGTTTCACTGGGCTTATCAACATTTAACCAGTTTTTCGCCAACTGCCAGGTGATGGTCTGTAGGCTTTATGTCAGCTCCTCCTCCCTTCTCCGCCTCCTGCGAATGTCATCGCCAGCTAGAACGCGCCACGAAAAAAACACTATGCCAGATAAAGTGTCAGATAGAATGCAGGATAAAATGTGAGAATGTGTGGCAGGAGGAATGTCAGAATGCCAGATAGTCTGGCAGATAACATGCCAGATAGAACGTCAGAATATTATATGTCAGATAGAATGCCGGATAACATGACAGCGTATGTGTCCTGGTAGAATTTCAGAATATATGTCAGATAAAATGCCAGAACGTATTTATGTCAGATACTGTAGAATGTCGAATAAACTGGCAGAATATATAACAGAAATAATGTCAGTTGAGTGAGGACCACTCGAAGGAAGTAATCGATTATTTCTTGTTGGAATATGCTAGAATTATTATCAGTTATTGAGAGTTAAATAGTTTCAGTGTGAATCCATATATAATTAACTGAGAAATAACAATGATAACTTACCACTTGCTAATTGGGTTGGGCATCCATCTGTTGTCTTCTTCTTTTGATCAACAAGACCAACGGCTCTGTGGGGTCCAACATGATGCACATACCCGCATTCAGGGCCATTTTTAGGTGAACCAAACGACCCGTTCAAGCCATAAAATCAATTATTCGCAGAGTAAATCCCATGAAACCACTTCCTGCAATCCCAGAGTTACACTGAAGATTAAGAGGGAAGCGCTAGAGTTTTGGAGTAAACAGTAAACATCAATAAAAATAATGGTTTCCCCTTAATGTTCCCATCAATCGGTTGGATCAAACGCCTGGCACAAAAGGACCCCAAGATAGCTGTTATAACCATCCACTGGTCGATCATCATTTTTCCCTTTTAAAACCAGCCATTCCAGGGTATAGTCCATGTCTTAATATACCAAACAAACATGCCAAAGTCGATGTCGTTGGTGATATATCATTATCCAATTTATATGTGTATATATACTGGTTGGTGGTATACCTACCCCTCTGAAAAATATGAAAGTCAGTTGGGATTATTATTCCCAATATATGGAAAAATGAAAAATGTTCCAAACCACCAACCAGTATATATATATACCAGTAATTATCAGTATATATGATATATCGTTTATCCCCATGAATATGCCATGAATATCCCATGAAATCAGCCTCTTTAACGGTTAAATCACCACAACCAGAGGCCCCGGCCTTCGCCAGAAGGGCCACGGCCGGCCTGGGTGGCGGAAGCGTTATCCCTTTAAGGAGACTACTTTGCAGGATAACCTACGGATACCTATGGGATTTTTAACAGTAGATCAAAGGATATATATATGGATAAATGATATCTGATGATATTCATGTTGCGTCCTACTTTGATTGTCTAGAGATGAGATTATGTTGATTTCACTATTTTCATCTATTTCTTTGGGGGTCGTTCGATGGCTTCAAAATCACTTGGTGCTTGGGCGCCCTGAGAAACTCAATAGAGCCAGTGTGCAAATGCTACCGTTTCTGGATTTGGGGAAAGCTTGAGCCACACAAATTGAGCAAAGGTAGGTATATCATGGTATATGTAAGGTATCGTGGGGTACCTTCTGTATATGTGTATATATATATATGTATATGTATACATATGTGTATTATTATATATTGGGGCTTCTTGAAATGGGGTATCCCCAAGTCACCATGGGCTTCAATACCAAAATGGTCTACTGTAATTTGGATGATTTGGGGCTAACCCCATTCCAGGAAACCGCCATATATATATATATCATCCAACATTTGACCATGTTAGTATTCAAACCTATGGTTTCCGGGGATCTCCCATTTTAAGAAACCACCAGGTGTGTGTGTGTGTGTGTCTGTGTGTGTGTGTCTCTGTGTGTGTCTGTGTGTGTGTGTGTGTCTGTGTGTGTGTCTGTGTGTGTGTCTGTGTGTGTGTCTGTGTGTGTGTCTGTGTGTGTGTGTCTGTGTCTGTGTGTGTGTCTGTGTGTGTGTGTCTGTGTGTGTGTGTGTCT